CAGAAATCAATATGAAAAGTAAATTTCAAATGACAACTAAAAATATGCAAATATGACAAATATATTAATAACCCTTTTTAAACATTTACATTTTAAAAGACATGTACAAGAAATTCACCGTTTCCACAGACTAATTTCAGTTTAGATTAAGAGCACACACCCCTAAAGTGTTTTCCAGTCAATAACAAAAAAGTATGATTTTGTATTTCAAAGTAAAAGGAATGGCATATATGAGCTCTTTTTCATCTGGAAAGCTTCAGAAAGCTATGATAAGGAAACTTCCTGTTTCTACTTAGTAATTGCCCTGGAGTAATAGGATACACCCTTACAGTGTCATCCAGTCTAATTGTGCATTTCAAAGTAAAAGCCCTCTGAAACATCATACATTAGATATTTCTTTTCCTCTGGAAAGCTCCGGACAGCTATTATAAGGAAGCTACCTGTTGCCACAGACTAATTATTTTATAACTGCTGTACATATTTCCCATTTTCCTAACAAACTTAAAAGAAATGAGTGGGCCCTGACTTGTGAACAGTACTGTACACTTAAGTATGAGGTACTTACAGAGTATTAAAAGTTGTGAGGTTAGATAGAAGATAGAAAAGTCTGAGATGGACCATAGCAAGAAAGGCCAGCAAACTGAGCAAGATACCTGCAGCAGACAACTGTTTCAGCTTCTTTAGAGTAGATAGTTTTCTTCCTGAAGACGGAATGATCTGCAACAAAAAATAGAAATCCACAGTATGAACACAGTTGGAGTAGCAGGGAGATAATGCTAAGAGATGGACGGAAAGCTGTTGATCTTTATCACCTTTGTCACCGGACTATCCAAAAAACTGTCTCCACACTTCTCCCAGCTCTTAGCGGATGAAAGGGAAGAGAGCGAAGAGGGTTCCCTGCCCACTTTCGCGAGAGCATTTTGGATATCATCGGGAAAGAAAACGCACTTTATGTCCCTGGAGTACCTTTTACGCTGCAGAAAATTAGTGAAGAAGTAAAAGGGGTTAGCTTAATAATAATAATTTTTTTAAAAGCCTTTAACGGTTTTTGCTAAAATAACCCTGCTGGAGGCTTTAATGATAATTTCACCTGTATTTACTCTGACAACCGAATTACAAATGACAGTGGCTATATTTGCTGTTATTAATAGTTAAAATATGATTCTAGCAACACAAGCCTGGCTGGTAAACCCCTTTCCGCTGTGGGCGGGCAAAACCGGATAACATGGGCTGCTAAAGCTAACTAGCTATACTCCACTGAGTAGCATTAACTGGCTAGCTAGTTACCATACTTCTTACCTTCCTGGAACTCATTGAGAAAAAAAACAGTCAATGCAGAGTTACTGAAGTGGTCTGTGTGCGTGTCCCCAAAGCGTCATTAGCAATATAATATATCTTGAACCCATCTTTGTGAAGTTACCGGTGTTTCCTCCCTCACTAGTTTGCTAAGCGCAGGAACAAACTAGTGGCGCTTACCCAATCTGGAGGTGCGTTTTATAACTCACCAGCGTGGACCGGAGGCGGATATGGGTGAGATTCTCACACCAAATCACTCAGTTATGCCTGTAAAATTTAGATTGATTCACTTTTCTTCAAACTCTTAATACAGTTTTCTTCTTGATATTATTCTACTGATACAGGTAAAAGTCCAAAAATCATTACTACAGTAAATATACAGGCCAAGTTACTACTCTTTATAAAGAGTCATATCACACTGTTGTTATT